AATTTGGGAACATAGCATTGAAGCTGAGCTGTCGCTTTCCCATAAAGCATGGTTCAGTGGACTATGGATTTAACCAAATACAATCATCGACCACTTTATTAGGTACACCTTGCTACTTGAAGTGGTTTTCTGCAGCTGTAGCCCATCTGCTTCAAGATTCGACGTGTTGTACGTTCAGAGATGGTATTCTGCATACCTTGGTTGTAATGAGTGGTTAATTGAGTTACTGTTGTCTTTCTATCATCTCCAACCAATCTGCCCATTCTTCTCTGACATCAACAAGGCATTTTCGTCCACACAACTGATGCTCACTGGATATTTTCTCTTCTCCAAACCATTCTCTGTAAACTCTAGAAATTGTACATGAAAATCTCAGTAGGTCAGCAGTTTTTGAAATACTCAGACCAGCCCGTGTGGCACTAACAACCATGCCACATTCAAAATCACTTAAATCCCCTTTCTTCCTCATTCTGATGTTTGGTTTGAACTTTTGCAAGTCGCTTCACCATGTCTGCATGCCTAGATGCATTGAGTTGCTGCCATGTGATTGGCTGATTAGCAATTTGTGTTACCAAGCAATTGAACAGGTGTACCTAATAAAGTGGTCGGTGAGCGTATGTCTCAGTTGCCAAGCTTTCACTATGACTTGTTTCAAGGCTGTGAGAACATGGGTCATGAGGGTAAATTGGGATTTTGAGATCCCCTCAGCTTTGAGTTGAGGATGGCTTCAGCGGAAGTGCTGAGGGAAAAAGGTTGCCACTTGCTATCAAAAATGTTGAACCACTGGACAGGTCCACCAGGAATTAATAAAGGTGGCAATATTTGGGCAATCGCAGAAACAGTGTGTGACAGAATACGGAGTGACATACGCTAATCTATTGGGAAGCATGTAGCACTGAAGTTTTGTTTTATAGTTGGTTTCAACAGCAAACACATTGTGGGGGCATGATTTGTGACCCAGATCTGGTCCAAACAGTCATGGTTTAAAGGCAACTGTAGGTCCCGTTCCCAATTGCACACATACATAATTTAAAGGTTTTGAGGAGGAGGACTGGTTTTATTTGCTACTTAAAGTACATATGTGTTATTAACACTACGTTTTATTAGTGTTACTAAAAAGTATCACTATTATTACATATTTTCAACATCCAGAGACTATGCCACTCTCAACATGCAATATCTACGAGCTTTCCATAATTTTCTATAATATCTTATTTCCAGATGTCTTTCTTGTATTACCTTTATTTTGTTGTGAATGTAGTTTACACAGATACAAAAAAAACACAAAGAAACTATCATTTGACCTTCTAGTTTTTATTGTACTTATAAAACAAGAATGGGCCTTGGAGATTTTAAAAGTATGGAACAATTTCTTCTATAGGAAAACAAATGTTTTGACCTTTATAATATTTTACCATTTTCTACTCTTACAATGAAACCCCCCCAAAATCATAACTTTTATAGTGACTCATTTCATATTATATATAGCTATAAAGAGGCTCCTACCCAATGTCCAGAAGTAGCAGGTGTCATTTATTAAAAGGACCTGTTACTGTTTAGAAGACATAATGATGCCAAAGTTGAAAGTATAGAAGGAAAAGCACAGTGCTTGCATCTACAGTGATGAAGGCTTAAATATTTAAAGTGGACCTTTCCATTCCCCAAGCATGGAAACATAGCAGTCATTTCATTCACGCTTCCAAACATACTCTTTCCTTTTACCATAATGAGCAGCCTTAGCAGACTAAATACTGTAGCACTATTACTGATATGCAATTCCCTAAATTTCAAAAAGCAAAGCTAAAGTTTTTTTTTTTCTTTTTTAAAGCAAGCTCCGAAAAAATACTGCATGTATATACACTTCTAAATGTATGCGTTTTGGCTTTTCCAGGTCTTCCAGCTGCTGTACAGGCATAGTACAGAATCTGGGACTCTCTGTGACCTCTTATTATTATTATTACAGGTATTTATATAGCGCCATCAATTTACGCAGCGCTTTACAAATATATTGTACATTCACATCAGTCCCTAACCCTCAAGGGGCGCACAATCTAAGGTACCTCTTGGTTTCAGCTCTTCTGGCTGCACAGCTCAGAGGTCATAGGCTTTCCACAGATCCCCCTTGGTATATCACAAGTGTAATCAACCATTACTTCACAGGACAGTGTGTCCCTGCATTTCTGAGCTTTCTGTGAGGGAATAATTACATAACTTCTCTCAGATGGTAGCGCTCCTTCATCACCACACTCTAAGGCAGTGGTTCTCAACCTGTGGGTCGTGACCCCTTTGGGGGTCGAACGACCCTTCACAGGGGTCCCCTAAGACCATCAGAAAACACATATTTCCGATGTGTAAAGAGCAGCTACTGTGTAGAAAGCAGCTGCTGTGTTGAAAGCAGCTACTCTGTTAAAAGCAGCTACTGTGTTGAAAGCAGCAATATTGGAGGTAAAACAACACTCATGAATTATAATTACTGTGTAAATAATTTTATGGTTGGGGGTCACCACAACATGAGGAACTGTATTAAAGGGTCACGGCATTAGGAAGGTTGAGAACCACTGCTCTAAGGCCTACTTCATATGAACAAATAGACAAGGACAGGCATGGACAGAGGCAACAATCAGCTGATTCCTGCGCTGACAAGTTAGTGTGAAGAGCTGTGGCCTCAGTCTGTACAAAGCAATGACAGGCTGAAAGAAGCAGCAGCTGTTTGCATGTATCCGCACATCCAGCAGATGCATCCAGGGACAGACTGACCACAGGTAACCGCTCGATGTGTGGATAGATGTGAAGATCGGCAGACAGCTGCAGCTCCTATAAGCATCTTATGCAGGTCATACATGGTTTGAATTCCGAACAAATTTTCTTTAGAAAATCAGAAATTTTATGCATTTTGTAATCCGATGGTGCCACCATTGATTTCGAAATTCAACCAACCAAGCCTTCAATTTCTCCTCATGTTGCTACATAAAAGAATTTTCGTGGCCAAGAATTTTCTTTTCTTTCCAGGCCACATTATATATTTCTTGCAAGATTCTCCCATCATTGATTCGAAATTTGTTCGTTTTTCAAAAAATTTCCAACATGCCAGATCACTCAAATTCAATGTCACACGAAAATCGGCCGTTTCTGTGACCCACTAATGGTGCGAAATTCGAACAAAGATTCTTAGAAAAGATTTTCTAAAGAAAATTCTTTTGGAATTCGACCCATGTATGGCCGGCTTTATACAGGCTGAGCGATCACAGCTGCCCGCAACTACCTGTCAACACAGCTGCAAGAATCTACTGATTCTTACTGCTGTCCACGTCAATTGGTTTATGTGAAGGAGGCCAAAAAGCTCAAGCGCAGACTCTACAAGAAGCAAATGGATAACATGAAATATAGATAATGTAAAAGGTAACACAAAACATACTTTTTTAGTTTTCAATAAAGAGTAGAAGAGCCCCATACTGCTGTCTATGTCCCCACTAGGAAGATTCACCCCCTTTTTTGTTTCTGTGTGACCACTGCCACCAAGACGGAAAGTGATAGGGAGTACAAAACTTTACAGCTGTCACCAGAACAGAAAGAAGGGGAGATCGTCCAATGGGAGAACCAGGTACAGTGACAACTACAATCAGAGAGTGATTTTTCCTTACTTTAGAGAGCTTCCTCTCGCTTCCTGCTTTGTCACTGGGACAGAAAGGGAAATCTACCCAACACGGCACAAACAGGAGAAACAAATCTGACAGTTATTTTATAGGATTAGCCCACCTTTTGCAAAAAAGTACTACATGTACCATTATTGATAAAATAAAGCACTTAGATTTTGAAACACATTTTTGCATTGAGGCCTGCCGAGCATTGCAATCAGTGCATTGGGGGTGCTTTCCCACAGCCTCAGGTCCGTACTGGTATCGGTATTGCCAGCACACGTTCTACAAGTCCCAAGGCAGATGGGACAGAGCCACGCACAGCTGTGCTAAACCTGAATGATCAATTAAAAAATTTACAGGATTCCCTGGAGGGTGCATCCCATAATTCAGGTGGGGATGGGTTATGTGACCATGTGTGATTGTCAAGGGAAAGGGCAATGGTGTCTTTGAAGAGACCTCACCTTCTCTTTCTGGGAGAGAGGGAAGATGATGGCACGCAATGAGGGCATAACTAGGATACTAAAGACGGACAGAAGCAGGGGTTGCGCTCATTATAGACCAGCGAGTGGTCTATAAATGGAATACTTTCCACATACAAATATTTTACACAAATATTGGCAAAGGAAGGGGTTTTTTTTTAAAGAGATAATTCATCTTAAAAAATACTGTGTAGTCAAGGGGCCTTAATAATGTAAAACATTGTCCTGCTTAGAAAAATTGAGCTTAGTTTTACATGACATCAAGTCAGGCTAAAAAAACAATTGGTATTTCATGTAAAATTTGCTCCATTTTCTGGAAAATGATTTTTTTTATACAATACATGGGTCCCTAGGTTGCACAGTATTTTTTTAAGTTGAAATAACCCTTTAAAGGAGCAGTAGGGCCAAATCTCTTTTGGCTCTACATCTCCTGGGGATCACAGGTCATGTGTCCTTCAGCTTGGGCCTCTTGCCCTGTCATTTTTTTCCCTGAAATTGTGAAAAGAAGGTGGTGGCAAAGCAAAGATTAAATATGTCACCTAATTTCAAAGTGTATTACATTTTATTTAAAGCCATTTTCTCCTTCCCTATGTTATATAATATTTGGTCATTTTTTTGGAAAACAAAGTACCTTGATACACCCAAACCCACATTTCCATTTTTCTGACTGTTCTGAATTGATGAATACTGTAATGAAATCTGATATGCTCCAATGGGTTATTACATTTTTTACAACCCTACTGATCTCTGCTGAACATTGCTGAATATACTCCATTGGGGGAGTTGTACAAATGATGTTGTGGCAAGGCAGCATTTTGCACCAACCAACACTGCTCTGTACCTTTATCACATAATATTTCAAACATGTCAGAGTGAGCTTTTTACTGCGGACACAGTACAGGAGATGACCAGAGACTTCGGACATAGTACAGGAGATGACCAGATACTGCAGCCATAGTACAGGAGATAACCAGAGACTGCGGACACAGTACAGGAGATGACCAGAGACTGCGGACATAGTACAGGAGATGACCAGAGACTGCGGACACAGTACAGGAAATGACCAGAGACTGCGGACATAGTACATGAGATGACCAGAGACTGCGGACATAGTACAGGAGATGACCAGAGACTGCGGACATAGTACAGGAGATGACCAGAGACTGCGGACACAGTACAGGAGATGACCAGAGACTGCGGACACAGTACAGGAGATGACCAGAGACTGCGGACACAGTACAGGAGATGACCAGAGACTGCGGACATAGTACAGGAGATGACTAGAGACTGCAGACCTTTGGGGAGTGGATACCCGAATTTGACAGGTACCTGCTCCCACTTCCACTGCGCTAGCCTAGACGATCAGAAGCGGAAGTTGTCCTCCCTCCCCGTAGTTTTCTGGGACACTTGATAGGTCCCCGAAGACTACGAGGCCATTCACAAAGCGCAGTGCTTCTTGCACATGCGCAGTGGGCACCCGCAAGCTGTCACAGCTGGGTGCCCACACTAAAGATGCCGGCGGGTAGGGAGAGAAGACGGCCGGTGAAATCAGCGCTGATGAGGACACTGCTGGACCGAGGAGCAGGTTCTGCTGCACAGAAGGGAGAATACCGGGCCAGCCACTCCATATTCGCTCCATAAGACAAACAGACATTTCCCCCCATTTTTTGGGGGGGAAAAAGTGAGTCTTATGGAGCGAAAAATACGGTAAATTTAGGTATGTACACAGCTTGCTTTGAAAAAACATGCTTCTACATCTGCCTGGATATCAGCTGTAAAAATTTTGAATTTAGAATAATATTATATCAAAAATGGAATCCAAATATATGTCACTGTGATCTATGATATTAACAAGTTCACAGTAAGCCATTCTGGGTAATATTGCTGTCAAACAGATGTAATTCTGTGCTTTCTCTGTTCACTTTCACTGCAAATTGCTGCATTTGTCTTAAAATAACAGTTTGCTTGAATACTACAGAATTTCAGTAAATGTCTTAACTCGAGAGTACATTCTGCAACTGCCATTCACATCCTGAATAGCACGGTCATTAGCATGTCTCCATAGTCATTATCAAGTCAGATGGTGAATGCATTACCAGTGATGAACACGAAAAGAAAAAAAAAAAAAAGACCACCAATGAATGTCACACTGTTTAAAAGCTGTCATTGTTAAAGTGAACGAAAGGCAATTCAACACTGCTTCACTGTATACCATCATTCACTGGTAACTTCTTACAAGTTTACGAAACAGAAAATGAATCAGCAAATAATGCAATTATGTGACATCTATAAAGGAATATATTAGAAAGTACAAAGATGTACTTGTCTCCAGGACATTCCTACTGCTATCTATGCGAGGATTTCCCTTCTGTTCTTCGGCGCTTAGCCCCTCTACCACTATTCAACAATCCCATAAGGCTTCAGTATTCTCCGCATTGGAAAGCTGAACACCGGGTCAGGCTTGGCTCTCATTGTGTGGACTAGCTTTAAAGAATATGTCAGCCTAACATTTCATATTCCTAATACTGTGTATGCCTGCTGTACCATGTTCTTGTAAGAAAAAAGTATTCTATTCTTGCTTGCTTTGTGTGAAATACTTGGTGTTCCTGCCAGTCTCTCTGCTTTCCTATCCAAAACTGAGCACGCTAGGCATGAAAGCACAGCGTTGTCCGTTTTCTAGGCAGTGCTGAGAACTCAGCCTGCTCTCCTCCAATGATCAGACTTCTGCTGACATGCCACTCCCTGCACAGCCATTCACTGGGAAGATCAGTATGCTGCTGTTTCTCCTTCCCCAGCTCTCTAAGATCATTATGCAGCTGAGAACAGAGGATATGTGATCACTTCTAAAAAGGAAGAAAAAGCTATTTGTGTATACACAAATATGTTGCCTTTTATTTCTATTTTAAACTGAATGGGTTGGGTGAGGGGTGAGGTTTCACATATACTTCAAGAAAGCAGAGGGCATCTGTATGTATTTTCTGTCTAATGAGAAGATGCTTCCTCAATATACTTAATTAAAACTGGCCATTCAGTAAATACAGGATATATTACTGAGACTTTAATTTTCAATTGATGAAAAGCAAGATGTTTGACCAATGGCGAATGAATGTGATCCCATTGGGTGAACACTTGGACACATTCAGTCAATAACTGTGACTTAGAAAGGTGGAGAATCTTCAGAAGTTTGTTTAGATGCATATGATCCGTGAGAGCTTACCCGAGACAAAGTGCTCATCGCTTCAATGGCCACTGCTTGTATGAATGAAATGTATTCCTCTAAAAACCACTTCAGTCTCCAGTAGCAGCTAGAACATTCAACTATCACAACTACACCGTATGAGCTGTACAAACTGCAGACCAAAGTTGTCAATCTGTTCTCTGTTTCTGCTGGCAGTGTAAGCACACTGGCCATCAAACTGAGCTGAAATTTGAACTGGTATGCAAGGGATGGCAGGAATGTATACATATAGAGAAGGAATAGGGGTGACTTTATTATTACCGAGCATATATACAGTTGTGCTCAAAAGCCCGCATACCCTTGCACAAATTGTGAAATGTTGGCGTTGATATTGAAAAAAGACTGATCATACCAAACAACTTTTATTGAAGGATAGTGATCATATGAAGCCATTTATTATCACATAGTTGTTTGGCTCCTTTAAAATCATAATGATGACAGAAATCACCAAGAGTGCCCAGGTTAAAAGTTTACATACCCTGGAATGTTTGGCCTTGGTACAGACACACAGGTTAAAATGGCAATTAAAGGTTAATTTCCCACATCTGTGCCTTTTCAAATTGCAATTAGTGCCTGTGTATAAATAGTTAATGAGTATAAATAGTTAATGCGTTTGTTAGCTTTCATGTGGTTGCACTGAGCAGACTAGATACTGAGCCATGGGGTGCAGAAAAGAACTGTCAAAAAGACCTGCGTAACAAGGTAATGGAACTTTATATAGAAAAAGATAGAACATGATATAAAAAGATATCCAAAACCTTGAATATGCTAGTCAGTACTGTTCAATCACTTATTAAGAAGTGGAAAATTTGTGGATCTCTTCATACCAAGCCAAGGTCAGGTAGACCAAGAAAGATTGCAACCACAACTGCAAGAAGAATTGTTCAGGATACAAAGAAAACCCCACAGGTAACCTCAGGAGAAATACAGGCTGCTCTGCAAAAAGACAGTGTGGTTGTTTTTAAGAAGCACAATATCATGATACTTGAACAATGAATGAGCTGCATGGTCAAGTTGCCTTTACTGTGCCAACACATGCTAATAGCTCAGTGAGGCACTGTTCTGTATTGGTACAGTAGGCGATTCTATCAAAAGTAGTTCAGTTCGTTGGCTTAACTGTAGGTATTGGTAGGTAAATGACCAGCATATCCAAACAATATTGATGTAAAGTGTAATCCCCACTGTGGCACAAAAATGTATGCTGTAGCTACATTAGAAGTTTCAGCCCTTATTAAGCATGGCCCCAGGTGACCCAAAGATAGAGGGCATGCATGCACATGAATGGCCATAAAAGTCTGTTTTTAATAGCATTTTTGGTAGTCACAGAATCTAGGAACTAGGCCATGACTGCTATTAAAACCATGAACTAGCCCTGATAGGATTGGGAGATGCTTGTAGCCTTCAATCACTTTTTTGGCTGTATGGTCCTTTATAGTGGTCTGTGGCAGATTTAAAAATGCCAGTGGTTTTGATAGCTTTACTGGTACAAGCAACAGATTCAGGTACATTTTATTATGGCATTACACACTCAAAAATAATTAAATCCAGTTCATAGAAAACAAACTTGAGTTAAGCAAGGCCAGCTCTAATTTGGCATACAGAGACAGGCACAGTGCTAGTCTCTGTATGTGTGTAGCAGGGGGTCATGTTTGCAGCTGCTACCCCTTCCTCTCCCAATGACAGCGGCCAGGCTCCTAGCAACCAACGATGCTGACAGTGGCCAAAGCCTGATGAGGAATCTGTGGGACTTGTTACCCATCAGGTCTCCTTTTCCCTTGTGATTGATAGCACGCAGTGGGCAGTTTCCATATGCAATAGCAGGATTTCTAATGGCTATGCAATCTGATTACTGCCTGCCGTCAATTACCAGGGGAGTGGACCTGATGGGAAACTAGTGTCTCTAATTCCCCATAAGGCACCACCCACTCAACTACAAAACTCCTTGGCTTTCTGTGTTATATGGACACCCAGTCCTCATTACACTTCTGCATGCGGTGCCTGCCTCAACCTTGTGTACCCATTTTCAACATCTACAACATGAATCTGCCGCCCCCACACTGACATTTGTCACACGGAGGCACAATGAAAATTAGGACCAGCCAACAGGTGACCCATGCCCACTGAGTCAGTATAAGTGTAACATTTTCACATACGTCTGGACTGTACACAGCACAAACAGTGCTTCCTGGACAAGCAGGTTTGTAAAGTATATTTGCACTGACAAAAATGAGTCCTTGTAGTTTTACTTAATTATATACTTGACTAATAACCGGTAAATATATTTGGCAGGGCAGTGAATAAAGTTTGGTATTTCCTTATATAGTGGTGTAGCTTGTGGCTGTTTGATATCTACAAACAAAGGAAAGCAAACAGCTGGCGAATCTTTCACAGACAGAACACAGACAGAGCAAACAGATGCAGGTTTGGAAAACTGCACACAAGACGTCAAGCAAATCGTAAGCGTCACACATCATCAATCTCACAAAAAAAAGCCATTGTGCTTTCAAAACTGATCAACAGCCTGACATTTTATTTACAAGTCCAGGCCAGTTACAATGGGAGGGATCAGTAAATACAGATACTAGCAGAAGTTCGCAGATGTAGTCTAGGGCTGTATTTAGCCATTTCATGCTGCGGTGAGTGCCCATGACTAATCATGCTTTTCCCTGAAGGTCTGCCCCTGTTCACAACCATGAAACAGGATTTTGGATGCGTTAACATAAAAACAGAATGCAATATCAGGAGCAGCATGATATGCACAACCATCGCTGGACTTTACTAAGCATGGGCTTGTAAATGGAAAAGATTACTAGAGAAATAGTGAGTCTTGCAACTGCTCTCAGCAGCACTACACACAACCTTCTTGCTGCTGGACTTGAACACAAAATGACCAGATGGAATCAGGCAAGACAACAGGAATCAGGCAAAGCAATGTTTTCTATATTGTGTCTGTTGGTGAGAAAGTCTGACAACCCTTCTTTTATAGAGCAGCCAGAAATTCGGAGGATAGAAGGTACTTGTAGGTACCTGAATTTTGACTTCATGTCAGTCTCTTTCAGGCCTGATACACGCAGATATTTAGAGACTCAAAAGTTCTAAAATGTAACATTTCTGGCATTTTCCTACACCCAGGGATTTCCAGGTGGTGCATACAGCTGGCCACACAAGTGAATGGCTGTATGTATCCATTCCTGTGAAAACACTGATGTTCCTATGCATCAGCATTTAACTAAGAATGTGCATTATTATTATTATTATTATTACATCGAGCTTCTATAGCGCCAAAGGGTTTGCTCAGAGCTGTACAATAGAGGGGGGGAACAATACATGAAACAGTACAGCAACTACAAACAGCACACGAGGGGTTAGAGGGCCCTACTCTTTCGAGCTTACAATCTAGGAGGGTGGGGGTAGTGGTACAGGAGGAAGTGGCTGTGGGGATGGAGTGGTAAGAGGAATGAAGGAGAACAGGCTGTTAGGTGAGGGTGGGGTAGGCTGCCCTGAAGAGGTGGGTTTTCAGGGAGCGCCTGAAGGTGAGGAGGGAAGGTGACAGTCTGATGAATTGGGGTAGTGAGTTCCAGAGGATGGGGGAGGACCTGGAGAAGTCTTGCAGATGTGCGTGGGAGGAGGAGACCAGGGGGCAAGATAGAAGGAGGTCCTGTGAAGAGCAAAGGGTACGGGTGGGGTGATACCTGGGAATCAGGTTGGTGAGGTAGTTAGGGGCAGTGTTGTGAATGGCTTTGTAGGTCAGAGTGAGTAGTTTGAATTTGATGCGTTGGGCGATAGGGAGCCAGTGGAGGGATAGGCAGAGGGGGGTGGCAGAGGTGGAGCGGTTGGTGAGGTGGATGAGTCTAGCCGCTGAGTATGTGCATACATTGTATTTCCTAAACACACAAGTCCTGCACTATACACACACGCACAGGGGCATCGGCATTAACACAAGTATGGCCAGCGTTTCCCAAACCAGATGTAGGCACCACCTGCAGCTCCTCGGGCATGGTAAAGCATTTGAAATCTAAGGACTCATACACACTGAATGTTTTTGACGCTGCTCTTAAGGGCGTCTGGCGTTTTTTGGGGGGTTTTTTCTGCCTTTAAATGCTCCTGCATGTTAGCCTATATGTCCATGCACACATAGGCCTTTAGAAGAGTTTACAGGCAGGGGTGTTTGGAGGCAGAAAAAAAAGCATGTCCAGGAGCAGTGGCATTTTGGCAGAAAACATGCTTGATACATCTAAGCGCACCAAAGCACTAAGTGTGATTAGCGCTTCAGTGTAAATTAACTTCAAAGGCCAGAATAAAGTATTATTATAGCCAAAGAAATGAATTAATGCCCAAGCTCTTGACGAGCCTAAACATGTCTAAACGCATGACACATGTTTGCAAGGGTCAAGTGTTTTTTTCTGCCAAAACATTGCTCCTCCTAGGAGTCTATGAGACATAGCAAACACATCCAGTGTGCATGAAACCTAAATTCCCTGAACAACAGCACTCTACTGGTAGTAGAAGGATAGCACTGGGAGCCAATCAGGTGAGCTGCATGCACATATGCTGAAAACAAGCAAGCTGACAGGAGGAAACAAATGAGTGAGCAAGGAGATGACCTCATCAGTCTTCTGCTGCTCCATCACTGACCTGGTGCAGAATGGTGTCAGCAGTATGTTTGTACATCTTACAGAGAAAACGGCTGTATCCTCCTGGCAGTGCTGTGTGATGCGGATGTGTTACTCTCAGGACAGAATGCATAAAAAAAGCAAATCCTTTGGCAGGTCAAATAGCTCCTATATACATATGCATTTCATTTGTGTATTTAGATGTTTGCATGGAGTTCAGTTTAAATCACCCTATTCTGACTTATCTTACATATCTTATCAAAATCTATCCCCAGTTGAACTTACAAGCCTGTCCTTGTTTAGACTCTACCTGGGTGAAAGAATTGTGCAGTCAGTATAACTACAGTAGATGTGAATTGTTCTCTGTACAATTAAAGTAGTTATTCATAATGTCTGAGGTCCCTCATTTTCTAAAATGACTTGATCAGACAAGGCTACATATTCTTCTCTGTCATCAACACAGGAAAATACAGTTCTAAACACAACACAAGGAAAAAACACTTAAAGTGGTTGTAAAGGCTCAAGATTTTTTACTTCCATACATTCTAGAGGAGACAGAAGCACCAGCGGGGGACCCCAGAAGAGGAGGATTGGGGCTGCTCTGTGCAAAACCATTGCACAGGGCAGCTAAGTATGAAATGCTTGGTATTTTTTTTTACATTGCCTTTATATCACATCAGATGTGTAAACAATTTGAGCATGCACTTCTTGTCTGTTGACCTGTAGTTTCCAATATAGTCAACTAAACTGAATCTTTTGTAATGTTTGTAAAAAAAGTTTGAAAAATATATACATTCCTTAACCACTTTCCTGCCGCCCTATAGCAGAAGTACTGCTACAGGGAGGCAGGGCTGTGCAAAAAAACGTACAGTATCTCAAAGAGGTGAGTCCACCGCTCACATTTACGTAAATATTTATTCTATCTTTTCATGTGACAACACTGAAGAAATAACACTTTGCTACAATGTAAAGTAGTGAGTGTACAGCTTGTATAACAGTGTAAATTTGCTGTCCCCTCAAAATAACTCAGCACAGCCATTAATGTCTAAACCGCTGGCAACAAAATGAATACACCCCTAAGTGAAAATGTCCAAGTTGGGCCCAAAGTATCAATGTGGCCACCATTATTTTCCAGCACTGCCTTAACCCTCTTGGGAATGGAGTTCACCAGAGCTTCACAGGTTGCCACAAGGAGTTCCTCTTCCACTCCTCCATGACGTCCTCACGGAGCTGGTGGATGTTAGAGACCTTTCGCTCTCCTCCACCTTCTGTTTAAGGATGCCCCACAAGTGCTCAATAGGGTGTAGGTCTGGAGATATGCTTGGCCAGTCCATCACCTTTACCCTCAGCTTCTTTAGCAAGGCAGTGGTCATCTTGGAGGTGTGTTTGGGGTCGTTATGTTGGAAAACTGCCCAGCAGCCCAGTCTCCAGAGGGGATCATGCTCTGCTTCAGTATGTCACAATATATGTTGGCATTCATGGTTCCCTCAATGAACTGTAGCTCCCCAGTGCCGGCAGCACTCATGAAGCCCCAGACCATGACACTCCCAGCACCATGCTTGACTGTAGGCAAGACACACTTGTCTTTGTACTCCTCACCTGGTTGCTGCCACACACGCTTGACACCATCTGAACGAAATCAGTTTTTCTTGGTGTCATCAGACCACAGGACATGGTTCCAGTAATCCATGTCCTTATTAGTCTGCTTGTGTTCAATAACTGTTTGCGGGCTTTCTTGTACATCATCTTTATAAAAGTCTTCCTTCTGGGACAACAGCCATGCAGACCAGTTTGATGCAGTGTGCAGCGTATGGTCTGAGCACTGACAGGCCCCACCCCTTCAACTTTTGCAGCAATGCTGGCAGCACTCATACGTCTATTTCCCAAAGACAACCTCTGGATATGATGCTGAGCACGTGCACTCAACTCCTTTGGCCGACCATGGAGAGGCCTGTTCTAAGTGGAACCTGTCCTGTTAAACCGCTGTATGGTCTTGGCCACCATGCTGCAGCTCAGTTTCAGGTCTTGGCAATCTTCTTATAGCCCAGGCCATCTTTATGTAGAACAACAATTCTGTTTTTCAGATTCTCAGAGAGTTCTTTGCCATGAGGTGCCATGTTGAACTTCCAGTGACCAGTATGAGAGAGTGAGAACGATAACACCAAATTTAACACACCTGCTCCCCATTCACACCTGAGACCTTGTAACACTAACATGTCACATGTCACATGTCAAGTACCTTCGAAAGAAAGCTCTATTTGTGGGAAAGAAATGCCACAAATTTCATTTATGTTCAGCATTGCATGACCGCACAATTGTCAGTTACAGTAACGCAGCACCGTATCGCAAAAAATAGCCTTGTCAGGAAGGGGGGTAAATCCTCTGGAGGGCAAGTGAAGAGATTGTAAAGACTCAGCTTTTTGTCAATTAAATTAACAAAACATGTTATACTTACCTGCCCTGCGCAATGGTACTGTATATAGCGGCCCCAAACTTCCACTTCTGGAGTCCCCCAACGCCGCTCTTGGCTCTTCAGTGTCTGCCACATTGGATGCCTCTTGCTATGGGGGCAGGCATGTGGGCTTGCCTTGAGCCAGGCTATGTGCGTCGATTAGACACACACAGCACGACTCTGCCCCGCCCCCTGCACTCTGGATTTGACTAACTGCAGCAGGAGCCAATGGTTCCCGCTGCTACCTCTGTGCCTGTGAGGAAAGAGAGATCAGCAATGCTGCTCTTAGGCACAGCACTGAATCGAAAGAGGAGCCGAGTAAGTATTTGGGCGGCGGGGAGTGCTGATATTTGAAATTTTTTACCGTAATGCAGAGAATGTATTAAGGTAAAAAAAATGTATGCCTTTAGAATCGCTTTAAAAATAATATATCAAGTGTGAACATTGCCTCCAAACAGTGTTTCCCAAACCTCCTTGCCAATGCATGGCTGCATTGTAGGAGATGCTGTCAGACCGTGACCACTCGTCAAAGAGCCAAAGAGAAGAGGCTTTGTAAAACCAATAGCACAGCATGGTGGAAGCCTGACAGAGCAAGGAATAAGTTACATTTTAAAGCTTAGTCATCAACCGTAGACTTGACATGTATTTAACCCTTGCAGTGTAGAACGGGAAGGCTGGGGGCCACGGCATTTTTTTTTGTTTGTTTTGGACTTCTGCTTTAAAATAAGTTCACTATTGGCATTTCCCATATTTTTATCATCACAGGACACTCTTAAAAATGATCTCCCGGCACAAATTAACTTTTGAAAAGTATGTGTAAAGTTAGATATTAAAAAAGGCGACAACACCCCCAAACATTTATAAAGTATGACCAGCCTTCACTGGATATTTATGGTTCAGTAGCAGAAGTAAGGTTCAACCAAGATTGCTACGTTTGATTAAAAAAAATGACTACTGAGGTATCATTTCACATATCCTCTGCAACACTCCGTTAACCACTTGCCCTCCAGAGGATTTACCCCCCTTCCTGACCAGGCCATTTTTTGCGTGCGGCGCTGCATTACTTTAACTGACAATTACGCGGTCATGCAACACTGCACCCAAATGAAATGTAAGTCCTTTTTTCCCCACGAATAGAGCTTTCTTTTGGTGGTATTTGATCGCTTGTGCGTTCTTTATTTTTTGCGTTATAAAAAAAGGACAATTTTGAGAAAAAAACTATATTTTTGACTTTTTGCTATTAAACATGTTTAGTAAAAAAATCAAATTTCATCATATATTTAGGCCGAAATGTATTCTACTACGTCTTTGCTAAAAAAAAATCCCAATACATGTAAATTAATTGGTTTACGTGAAAGTTATAGTGTTTACAAATGGCGGTATATATTGGGATTTTTTTCATTTCTTTTTAATTTTTACTAGTAATGGCAACAATCAGCGACTTATAGCGGGACTGCGGTGGGCATTCTGACACTGGGGGGGGGGACTGACTTGGTGTCACTGACATCCCCAGTGACACCAATAGTTATCAGTGCTAATAAAAAGCACTGACACTGTAATAATGACACTGGGCAGGAAGGGGTTAACATCTGGGGTGATCAAAGGGTTAACTGTGTGCTGTTTTACTACGGGCTGTGTGTTTGTGCTTCACTGTAAGTACACTGCTTTGCATTGCTGTGCTATGCACAGGCATGCAAAGCAGTGTGCACAAGCTGAGAGGGAAGATAATTGTTTTGTTTAGAAACAGTTCTCAGCCTACGGAGATGCTCGGCAATCACTGGCTGGGACCCGGTGACTGACAGCCTGGGCTGTGAATGGCAGCGCGGGTAGGGCTTGTGCCTACCTGGAAATGCAAAATCACGTATATATACGTGATTTTGTGCACCCCTGCCGCCCTGTAGCAGTATATCTGCTACAGGGCAGCGGGAATGCGTTTAACATACCTCCCCAATTTTTGAGATGGGAACGAGGGACACCTGTTAGCAAATGTATGTAGATATAGGACACCCAACCCCCACACCCCCTTAAAGGAGAATTAATCAAAAAAAAGATTAGTTAAATCCACAAATTCTTTTTTTTACCGTTATTATTTCTTTATACTGGCTTTTGAAGTTTACAAATGCAACAATTTATAAGTTGGATGAATAATTTAGCACTGTATCTTTTTGAAAGACAAATAATGCATTTTATATACAACTGTATAGATCAGACCAAAATAAGGGACAAATGAGGAGGAAAGGGGGACTTTATTCCAAATCAGGGAAAGTCCCTCGAAATCAGGGACAGTTGGGAGGTATGCATTATTTATGTTTGCCTGGAGTTAAACTGTAAGCTGTTGCAACACAGAGTCAACCCAATATTTTTATTATATATATGTCACTCATTGTACAGCAATATTCCAGACTGAAATTATTATTGGTATTGATACTTTCTGAGAGACAGATTTTGAACACTGGAAATCACGTTTAAATGCATCCTTTCATTGCAGCTAACTGAGATTTTAAAAGGATGTTAAACAATGAGCATTAAGCATTTGTAAAGGACAGCAAACACTCTCAATTCATTTGAGGCTGCCATATGTTTTCTTAAGCACCAGAGGTTTGGCCTTGTCTAATGCTAAGTCACATTATCTCTCGGCGCAGCTCACAGAACGCTGTGACTGAGACTCGGAACACAGCTCGCAAATCTGCAATTTATTTAATTAAAACATATCCTTGAAGTTAAGCAGAGTAAAGCCTGGTACCCACAATGAGAATATTGTATGCACAAAAACGTACGGTTTTGGAGCGATCGTGCGATAATCTATTAGTACACAGCTTTCGAGAACCAATCACAACAGTTCATGCAAAATTATCTGAAGAGACATGCACGAAAATGTGTCTCAATAGATAACAGAGCAAATGATTTTCATATAATCAGTTCAGTATTCGTCCATAAAAAAAAACGAGTTGACCGAGACCGCCCATGCTCAGAAAAGAAAGAATACATTACAATACAATATAATATATTACATTCTGTCTTGTCTTTTTATAACTCTAGTAACCTATTCATTTTTGAACCTAGCATGCAAAAAAAAAAAAAAAAAAAAACAGACGATCACTCATGATATTCTCACCGTACTATACATACCAGGCTTAATGTGGCTCAAAAAGCTAAAGATAAATGTAAAATGTCCACAATGTATCTATCATACAGATGTAGCACCCTCTTAGTCAGGCTGCTAGTTAAGGTGTCCTTTTATGAAACAGAGATCAGTGGCAATCCTAAGGATCGTTGCTGATCTCAGATCATTAGTGGTTTAGGAAACATGTTCTCCGCTGATCATCTCAGCACACAGAGTATCTGTCAGTGTATGAAGGAGCAATGTCAGACCTTCACTGGCGATCTGTGTGAAAATTCTCCCTCCAGATTCTCCAGCCCAGAGGTGGACAATCGGGGGAGACGTAAACAAAGCAGTGGTAATTTACTGCTGTTTAGTAAACTGTGTGTTTGACTGATCTTACTGTAATCTCGGGAGATTACAGTAACAGCAGCCATTTTTCTAGAGTTCAAAGCGTTTGTAGCTTCTCTTTTCATTAGGAGAAGCGATCTACACTGCTTCATGAGCAGGCATTTAGAGGAGAACTGTCTTCTCTGAAAATGCCGGAGAACAGCGCAGCGGTCATTTACCACTGCATGATAAAAGGACACCTATGCTAGGAAAACTTAGATCTCTGTAATCAGTGGAGTAGCTTGTGATTACTTTAGGCTGTTCTGGGTTTCACTGGTTGTAGTTTTGACTACGTCCCCTTACGTCGGTGCACACAATCAGAGCTTACACTGGGGTGGCCGCCATTACTACCCAGGGATAACCCCCATTACTCTCCAGGGGTGAGCCCCAAATACACAGTTTCAGACAAGTGGCACTTGGGGGACTCAAACATGTACACAGATCAGAGGGGACTCCCAGCTCACACTTACCCCATGGTGGTGGTGGTGGATAGCTAGGCAGCTGCAGGTGATTACCAGTGTAGTCTCCAGGTGCTCAGTGGCTCATACATGCAAGGTCAGCTCTCCTCCAGACCTCATGGAGCTCCAGCCGGCACCAAGCTGATGATGAAAGGCTGAGTACTGAGGATCTAGTGTGCTCCCCCCATTGCCCCCTCTGGTGATCAGTTTGCTGGTGCCAGTACTGCACATACAGCGATCCACAGGCAGCCGGCGGGGAGATGCCGGCTGCAATACAGATAATTATGGTAATGAGGGATTCAGTGAGCGCTAACCAACACAGCAGCTGATACACTAAAAAGGAAAACCATCAACCTTCAAACAAACAATATAAGATAAATAGTGCAGCGCTAGATGTTATATGACTGTACCAATATTAAAGATGGTGCAATATCCCTTACTTAAATGTCAACAGGTGTGGACCACATACATATGTGTGACCAAACACACTGTATGTGATCTTCCCAAGAGTTGAAAAAACGTGAGCTTCACATAACTTCACTTCACAATACAAAACGCACAATATAAATGCACAGTATAGTCCAGTCATCAAAAAGACATAGATGAGTGTATTTCAATGAAATCCTTATGATGCATGTAGTCCGGCGATGTGCAGAAGAAATAATTAAATTGCGCACTCACCGGAAGCACAATTTAAATTGTGCGTTTGTGTCTCATACACCAAAGGTCACTCCGACTGTAGATGAAGGGAAGCTCTGAATAGGTGGTTCTATGATGAAAGGTAACACATCCGGGGATTCCCTCTGGCAGACAGGCTCCAAAACAGGGTCAACCGAATTTTTCTCTGGGCCTTGGGATAATCACCTGGTGGTCCTGAGAATTAAATGCTCGATGTGGAGCAAAAAGGAATACCCATAGTGTAGTAGTTGTGTCAAATTTAAAAGGATTTATTGTATATTAAAACAAAAAACACTTAACATGAGTATGAGAATAAAATCAATCCTTGTGCACTAAGGATATCATGAATGACACACTGACCAGCTGGTATAGAAGAGTGGCCGCCGGACCCCCTTGATCCGGCGGCTTAGCGTCACGGCTAGCAGAGGCTCCTCCTTGACGCGCGTTTCGTATCACACGTACATCATCAGAAGGAATAAGAGCCCCTGAGAAACTGAGCCAGATGGCTCTTATTCCTTCTGATGATGTACGTGTGATACGAAACGCGCGTCAAGGAGGAGCCTCTGCTAGCCGTGACGCTAAGCCGCCGGATCAAGGGGGTCCGGCGGCCACTCTTCTATACCAGCTGGTCAGTGTGTCATTCATGATATCCTTAGTGCACAAGGATTGATTTTATTCTCATACTCATGTTAAGTGTTTTTTGTTTTAATATACAATAAATCCTTTTAAATTTGACACAACTACTACACTATGGGTATTCCTTTTTGCTCCACATCGAGCATTTAATTCCTCAGGACCACCAGGTGATTATCCCAAGGCCCAGAGAAAAATTCGGTTGACCCTGTTTTGGAGCCTGTCTGCCAGAGGGAATCCCCGGATGTGTTACCTTTCATCATAGAACCACCTATTCAGAGCTTCCCTTCATCTACAGTCGGAGTGACCTTTGGTGTATGAGACACAAACGCACAATTTAAATTGTGCTTCCGGTGAGTGCGCAATTTAATTATTTCTTCTACACATCGCCGGACTACATGCATCATAAGGATTTCATTGAAATACACTCATCTATGTCTTTTTGATGACTGGACTATACTGTGCATTTATATTGTGCGTTTTGTATTGTGAAGTGAAGTTATGTGAAGCTCACGTTTTTTCAACTCTTGGGAAGATCACATACAGTGTGTTTGGTCACACATATGTATGTGGTCCACACCTGTTGACATTTAAGTAAGGGATATTGCACCATCTTTAATATTGGTACAGTCATATAACATCTAGCGCTGCACTATTTATCTTATAATACAGATAATTAGTTGCAGTGTGTGGTACCCCATATACTCCGCACAAGCTGCAGGGGCAGAGGCAACCAGTGCTCATGGAGAAGTCACTGGAACCAAGTGTTGGAACTTGATAGGTACACATGCTTTCTAACTTTGCCTAAAAGGACAACTACTAACTACTGTATAGTATATAAGAAGATTTACACTCAACTTAAACTGAATGTTATCATCAAAGGGAACCTTTAAAAATGCTGGAATATTCATCAACATGAAATGTTGGCTTCACTCTGAATCATTCCTTCATCTGTCCTTAACCTCAGAAAATGATCTTGTCCTTTGTATTGTATGCTCACAAAAAGACCTGTGCTGTCGCATATAAACACAAGGGTATAATTTCTCTCTGACTATAAAAAGAGTTTATATGTAGAACTCAGGAGAACACAATTAGTTATATACTCTCTCCTCACACAGTAAAATGCACCCACACACTTATATAACCACGGGACAATTATAAATGTACATATATCATTTAGTATAAAGGAAGCACACTTGAGCTAATAAAGCAAGAATACAGAAAACAGGGACACAGGAAATCAGATTGTTCATGTAATGCAATGAGTGTTTTTATATATTTGAAATTTATTAGACGACAGAACACAACATGTACTGCTCCCAATAAGCTGCATAAAGAAAGTCCCTACACAATATGAAAGTCTATTCAAACCAACTTTAAAGTAGAAGTTTGGGCTATATAAAAAAAACTAACATAATGTACATACTTACCTCCATGCTGCAGCATCGCTGTGATGCTGCAGCTCTCCCATTCTGGCTCTAAGCCTGAGAACTGAGTGATCACGTGACTGCTGATTGTCAGTCACCAGCTCTGCCCATCCAATACCCACTGGAACGCCAGGCTATGCAGCGGGTGGAAGCAGCTGGCTCAGTTTCTCAGGG